AGTTGCTTAATTCATGAATCAAGCTCTTCAGTAGTACACTTTTATTACTTGCATCATTATTTTTTGCCATTAATCTAGGACATAAGATGTCTTCTTGCTCACTGTGTAACACCTAGAACATAGCAAACATAAAATAATATTTGCTGAAGGAATGAACAAACTATGGCTCTCTTTAAGGAAAGTCCTATGTGAGCAAATTGTTACTTATTAATTAATATTTATTTGTGTGTGAATGGAGATAGTGATCAGCAGGTGAACATCATTGAATGAAAGTAGTTAGCAAATATAGAGAGTCAATTGGGTTATTCTATGAAGTGAGAAACAGGGCATCGAAAGCCATGGAAATGTTCTTAGTAATTTAAAAATTACAGACTTAATTCTATGATCATACATTAGGTGCGGTGAGTTTATATTTCTCAATACTGTCTTGCAAAGAGAATTAGTGTGCTAAAGCAAGTGGTTCTAAATCATTGAGTTGATGGGATGAGGAATACTAGAATAAGCCAAAAGTTGAATGGGAGTCTATGACAGTTGTATTAGATACAAGTTAATACTGGCGATAACAAATGCAGGCTGACTTTCAGAAATTGGCCTTTCTTTCACTCATTTGTTGACTTGTGAATTCTGCAGGTATACATTGAGCATTTATTGACTGTGAGGCGCTCTGTGAACCAACAGCCAGGTACACACTAACTTGCTTCCATGGTGACTTGCTGGAAGCAAATTACTAAGCAGGTGACCAACTTGATGCTCCCTAATGAACAGCACTAGTGCAAGTTAGATAAAAATTATTGAACCAAATTGTTCCAGGCAGAAGAGATGCTCATTATGAAGGCAACTGGCCTTTAATATGATTGAGTAGTTGCCATGGGAACAAATAGGGGTTACAGAAACTGTGTCTCAGGAGAACAAAGAGGAAAAATAAATCATTATTTAAACAAGTACAATATTCACAGGCAATGTGCCTACAATCCCCACAAATAAATGAGCAAATATCAAAAACACAGGAGGGAAAACACACAGAAAAGGAGAACAAGGCTCTTCCCAAGGAAAGGAGCTGAGTCTGACGATGACTGGAGGGTATTTCCAGTTAGGAAAATAATTTGATCCTTCAATTTCTTAGATTTTTTCTAAGCATTTATTCTGGAGAGTGAGATGAATGTCATTGTTCACTGATCTCCCTCGCCATGACCTCAACAGGAACAAGACTAACGTACACTTCCCCATTTGTGCACCAAATCCATAGTTATTTGTGTGGCATCTCAGGAAGCCACATGCTGCACAGGCAGCGTGGCTCAGCAAAAAACAGGATAGACTTTGGACGCTGAACTGGAGTGCAAATATACAGCTAGTCTCTTGGACCCTGGCAAGGTGCTTAATTTATCTGAACATCAATCTGCTTGTGAAAGCTGATGGGAAAGGATGCGTGGGGACAGCCAGGCACACAACAGGGAATCATTATAGACTATCTTGTATTATTGACTCATAGGTACTAATTCTTGTGGCCTGCTGAAACCCGACATCTGGTTATAAACCTGTCCCGTTCCCCTCCCTCAGGATGGTCTCATTGTTTGCTACCTCTACCATCAGTGATGGTTCTGAGATTTCTCCTCTCTGCCTAGGTCAGGGGAGAGGTTTGCAAGTATGTACAACTTTGCACCTCGACATTGTGCAGCTATCATGAACTGAGCTCTGTTTCTGTTTGTTTGTTTTCTATTGGTCATAATTTGGTGCATTGATTCTGGGATGTTTTGTGACCTTCACTTTTGAGTATAATGAGATGCCTAGACCTGGACTCAGTGGAAGATTCACTGCATGAGATAAACCCGCTTGCCCTATTCCATCATAAATAGGAAGCTGAGGTATTCGAGTAGAGGGACGCCGTCTTGCTGGAAGGGGAACTGAGATAAAGCTGTCTGCACTCGTGAAGGTCGAGTCTCTGCCCAGTAATTTGCATTACGGAAACATGAAGGGTTTTAAAATTTCAAGCAAAGCACATGACTTTTGATTCTTGAGAATAAATATGACCAATTCTCATGCAGGAGAAATAATAAAGAGCCTCCTTTGGCAAACACTTAGTGTAATTAATAATAATTGGAGAAAATAAATGGAAGTGGACATGGAAAAAGTTTCTGAATAGACCAAGAGGCAGAGAAAAAATAAATCAGAACATAGGAAAACCACCAAGTCAGAAACTGAATCTTTCATCCCATTATCATATAACTAAAGCAGCTATTTTTCCAAGTCTTCCTGTCATTGAACTATCAAAAATAATGCATCCAAAAGCTACCAAGGCTAAGGCCCCTTTCCAAAGAACTCAGCCTGTGTTCGTGAATTCTGAGCATTCCCACGAGTCCTAGAGTTGGTCCTTTCCCAAGTGACCACTAAAATGGTGATGGAGTTCTCCTCTGAGAGGGTTGTTATTGCGAATGGCTCTTAGGTTCTCTTCCTACAACATAAAGATGCTGTCCAATCTTCATGCGGAGGACCAGTCCACCAAGTTTCCATGAGTGTCACCTATAGCTCAGTGATGTTTATAGCTCCTTCACTTTCCTAATCTATTTAATGTAGCCTCCCTCTTCCAGGATTTGGCAGAATAAAGCATCATCGGTGACATACATTTCTTTTTTTTTTTTTTTTTTTGGACAGGCAGAGTGGACAGTGAGAGAGGGACAGAGAGAAAGGTCTTCCTTTGCCGTTGGTTCACCCTCCAATGGCCACCGCGGCTGGCGCGCTGCGGCCCACGCACCGCGCTGATCTGATGGCAGGAGCCAGGTGCTTCTCCTGGTCTCCCATGGCGTGCAGGGCCCAAGCACTTGGGCCATCCTCCACTGCACTCCCTGGCCACAGCAGAGAGCTGGCCTGGAAGAGGGGCAACCGGGACAGAATCCGGCGCCCCGACCGGGACTAGAACCTCGTGTGCCGGCGCCGCAAGGCGGAGGATTAGCCTAGTGAGCCGCGGCGCCGGCCTGGTGACATACATTTCAACTGTGAAAAGAAGTATCCATATTCTTGAGGGACAACTCAGAAAACTGGATGAATTTAAGCATCTATAGCCCAAATGGATCTAACAGATACCTACAGAACTTTTCATCCTACACATAAAGCATTTACATTCTTCTCAGCAGTACATGGAACCTTCTCTAGGATTGACCACATACTAGGCCATAAAGCAAGTCTCAGCAACTTCAAAAGAATTAGAATCATACCATGCAGCTTCTCAGACCATAAAGGAATGAAGTTGGAAATTAGCAACTCAGGAATCCCTAGAGCATACGCAAACACATGGAGATTGAACAACATGCTCCTGAATGAACAATGGGTCACAGAAGAAATCAAAAGAGAAATCAAAAACTTTCTGGAAGTAAATGAGGATAACAGCACAACATACCAAAACTTATGGGATACAGCATCTTGAAACATGAAGGAATCCCCAGCTCATGGCCTCTAAAAAGCTTCTGCAGTGTAGTTTATTTAATTGTTTCCCACAAAAGATATCCTCAAGTGCTAATGCCTGCTACTTATGAGCATGACCTTAACTAGAAATAAGTTCTTTGATCAAGTAATCAAGTTAAGAAGAGGCCATATTGCACTGGCAGGGAACAGTTCTCTAAATCCAATGACTGGGGTCTTTTTAAAAGGAATAAGACAGGCCAGTGTTGTAGCTAGGAGGTAAAGCCACTGCCAGCAACAACGCCATCCCATGTGGGCACTGGATCAAGTCCAGCTACTCTACTTCTGATCCAGCTCCCTGCTAATGGCCTGGGAAAAGTAGCAGGAGATAGTCCAAGTGCTTGGGTTCCTGTCACCATGTGGGAGACCTGATGAAACTCCTGGCCTCCGGCTTTGGCTTGGTCCAGCCATGACAGTTGTGGCCAACTAGGGAGTGAACCAGGAGATGGAAGATCTCTCTGTCTTTCCCTCTTTCTCTGCAACTATGACTTTCAAAAAAAATCTTCAAAAAATAAAATAAAAGGAGTGAGAGGGAGACTGGGCACAAAATACTGGAAGAGGCAGAGGTTGGAGGGAACTTCTATAAGCCAAGGAATACCAGAGAGATGCAAGGAAGGAGTCCTTCCAGAATTTACTGCGGTGGCAAGGTCCTGCCTACACCTCAGTCAGCCTTCTAGCTTCCAGAATTGTGAGATAACAAATTTGTCTCGAGTTCAGCATCAATATGTGGTGCTCTGTGATGGCAGCTCAGGAAGCTGATGCCAGTGGCATGGCCAGGTGAAAAAAGGGAATTTAGTTGTTAAATTTGAGTGCAAATCTGTAGTTTGTCTTCTGCCAATGGAAAGTTGCTTCATGTATGTGGGCATCAATTTGCTTGTATGTAAAATTTTCGCAGCTTAAATGGAATAATGTATGTGAAATGCCAGGCACTTAGACGATTTATATTACTAAAAGGGGCTAAATTCAAGTCCTTCTTATTCTTATCCTATTGTGAAAATTCTGCATAATTTCTTAAAATCTTTGTACATAGGAATTAATTAGGAGAAAAATCTCAATTCAAAATAACGTGTAAGGAGCAAAGTCAGGATTTAAGATGCAACCAAACGCCATTATAATGGACTCCCATGCTTTTCACATTTAAAGTTTTCACTTTCACATAAGCAAACATTTCCCAGAAAAAGAGATTCAATGTAAGTCACATCTCCTTATGATTGCATGTCTCTTTGGCTAAAACTCTAACAAGTGAGAGTGAACTGGAAAGTGGAATTATCAAACAATGCCAGTGAAACCCAAGTCGTAGCAAAGTAATTCCTAAAGAAAGACCACCGCAGCCAAGCTTGGCACGGCTTCCCCACAACTTGCTTCGTGAACTGTGTGACTCACAGCCTGGTCTCTAATTATCTTGTGTTCTAGGTGAATAAATGATGACATAGACACATTTTTTTCTCAACTGAAGTGCTTACATAGGATGAAATCATGTTAGTTAAATCTGCAGCCGTGCCCATGCCACTCAACCACCCCTGGAGGATGATGGATGGTTTACTCACTAACACCAGCAGCAGGACCACGTCGGGGTTGTCGCAGGCACAGGCTATGTGCATTGGGGTCCAGAAGTCTTCATCCTGGTGGTTGACGTTGACTCCTCTGTCGATGAGGATCTCGGCAATGAAGGCGTTGTCGTACCGAGCACACTGAAAGAAGGAGAGGAAACGAGATTTCAACACCTGCAGTACAGGTTCTTCCACGTCTTCTTGGACGTAAAACTTCAGTGACACTTCTGAAAGTTGAGAGGAGACTCTAAACTGGGAACGGACACGTTCTTGGTCCCCACTAGCCTGTAAGGCCAAGGGCATCTGTCAGACTCGGGAGGCAGAGTCAACGGACAGGGCAGAAGAAAAGGAGACATTAGATGATATGAAGAAGGTTCTAAAAACAAGTCACCAGGTCTTCTCATTAGCAGGTGTGATTCTTAGAAAATCTTGACCCATTTATAACAATTATCTTTCCAAAACACTGATTTGATTTCATAGTCTTTTTGCTTTAAAGCATGCCTTGTCTGTCTGTACTGAAAGAACAAAGTCTACCCAAGAAACAAGACTCTTCAAAATGTATCTATTCTCTTGTCCCACCATTCCCACACGTGGCCTCAGACTCACGGCCTAAGACCACTAGGCATTCCACACGCCATATTGGGCATGAAAATCGTCAAAATTTAGGTTTTCTCGCATAACCATTCATGATTTTATAATATTGTATTTTATAGATACTCCATAATCTACAAACTATTCAGAAACTGAAATTGTTCTTATTTTTCTATTTATAGGTAAAACATAAATAATCAATATGACGTATAAAAGTCAGGGCTGGTTTCGTGAGTGCACAATCTGTGCAGTGGTGCTTGAGTGGGTCCTGTACTTTGTTTAATGTTCTGCTATTACTACCTTGAATTTGTAATAAATTTTGAAAAGTCCCACGTGGTCATTTTGCAGTAGGCTCTGGAAATCATCTAGTGCTTTTACCGGACTTCCATATTTATAATCTATGCATCACATTAATGCCAAATGCATATTGACAATATCAGAAAAATAAAGGGACCTAATGAATGCAGGTGCAAAATCCCATCAGGCCCCATGCTCCTAGTGGCCATCTCCCAGATTACCTCCCTGGACCGAGGGAGCGGCACAGCTGGCTCCCCAAGATCCTCATCGCCAGACGCATGGGGCCACTGGCTTCTCCAACAGATGATACCTTGGCCAGTGTTGTCTCCAGGGTTCCATTTACTTAAGGAAGCCCAGGTCTGGGCAGGGAATCCAGTTCTGAGACAGAATGTAACTACCTCTTGCATGTAGCCCACAGGCTGACCGAAGCCCACTTGGCCACCACACCCGTGCCCTGAAGAAGACAGCATTGCCGACCAACCAGGAACTTGGACATGAGTTAACGTGTAACAGGACCAGATAACCACTGTGACTCCAGCCAGGCCCTTATCCCCAGGTCACAGGCCAACATGCAGCTGCCCCTATGCTGTGTTCCCCTGACCCCTAGCTCCCCTTTCTTGTAGCCTCTCTAAAACCCCTAAAGCACCCTCATTCAGGAGGGTGGTTTTTGAGACTTGGAGGTCTGCTATGCCTTCATCTGCCAACAGAATTCAACCTTCCCTTCCCTTTACCCCCAACCCTTGTCCTAGTTGTCGCTCCCCCTCTTCGTGGAGGAACGACACTAAGCCCTGCCTAGGCTTCATATCCGAGTCACGGCACCATTATGTCGCTCCCCATCTTCACGGAGGAACGACACAGGACCCTGCGTTGTTCTTTCGTCTGCTCGGCCCTCCCCGGGTTTGCTGCTGGTTCTTCCCGGGTTGGCTACTGACCCTTCCACCTCCATGGAAGGGCGGTTCCCCCTGCCACTTTCCCCACTTCCGCGGGGGAGCGGCACACCGCCGGCCGGCTCTCTTGGGGGCTGCACAGGTGTTCCTTCAGATAGATGTTCTTGGTGCATGTTGTCTCTCTCCTCCTTTATAGTCCTCTTCCACCAATCCTAACTCTGCTACCCACACGCCGAGTATGCTGCTCTCCTCCAATCAGGAGCAGGTCCTGCTGTTTATTGGTTGAACTGGAGGCAGCTGTGTAGAAGCTGTTTCCTCCTCTCCCAGCGCCATATTGTGGGAGAGCAGATGCATAGAATAAGTCTTAATTCCAGTAACTCAGTCCAGTCCGGGCTGCTCCCCACAGATCCCCCTTTCTTTTTATTTTTTGGCGTTGATACGCGCCTGTCTTCGGTGTCCCGCGGCACACACTCTGCTCTACTTGCTAGAGTTGCCACAGGTTCTTACAAGTCCTATCAATCAGGCAAACCGAATCCGGGTCCTCTCTTCGCCGTGTTGTGAGGAGGTTTTTAGGCGCTGATGCGTGCCTGTGTTCGGTGACCTGCGGCTCATACTCTGGTCGAGCCGCCTGCTGGCGCTTACCGCCTTAATCAGGCAGACCGAATCCAAGCTTTCTCATTGCCGTATTGTGGGGGAGACTTATTAGTGTTGGTTCATGCCTGTCTTCGGTGACCTGCAGCTCATACTCTGGTCGAGCTGCTTGCTGGTGCTTACCGCCTTAATCAGGCAGACCGAATCCAAGCTTTCTCATTGCCATGTTGAGGGGAGGCCTTTCTATTTCTCTATTTCTCTATCTCCGGGCATTCCTATTTCCCCCATTTTACTTCTATCTTCCAGCATTCCTATTTCTCTCATTTTACTTCTAAACTTCTGTTTCTCTTATCCCTGCGGCTTCCCGGCGGCGCTCGCCCCAAGGCTGCTTCTCGGCACCTCGCCCCGCGGCAGCTTCAAGGCTCTGCGTGGCTTCCCGGTGCCTCGCCCCGCCGGCGGGCTCCCGGCTCTGCGCGGCTCGGCTTCGCGCACACGCTCCGCGGTCTCCACGCACTTCACGCCCGCACCACGGCCTCTCGCCAGCCCCGCGTTCCCCATCTATTCACGCCCCGTGCTCTCTCTGCACGCGGCGGCTTCCGTGAATGTTTCCGCCACCACCAGCATTCAGTCCAAGTTCCCCGGACTAACCTGGCGAATTCCAACCTGGCGGCCCACGTCTCTGCCTCTGGTTCCAGATCTTCGCCTCTTGCTCCCCGGGGTGACTTGAAGAATTCCAAGGTGGCTTATATCTCCGCCTCGGCCTGCACTCGCGGCTTCATCCTCCCTAACATTTTTCTCTACCCGGTATGTTTCCTTAAGTTTTCTTCCAACAATATTCCTCTCATTTCTCCTGGCTACTCCCCACAGTCCGTATCCGAGTACAAGCCTCCTCCAGGTTTCACTTTCGCTTTCAATCTCCTAGCTTCCCTGCCATAGTCCGCATCCGAGTCTATGAAAGCTTTCACTTTCGCTTTCAATCCTAACTTCTTTCCCACAGTCCATATCCGAGTCTATGCCTAGGCTTTCAATAGCTTCTTCCGGCACCTCTTTCGTCCGGCTTTTCCCTAGGCTGTTTGCTAGTCTCTCTCTCCGATATTTTCCCATTTCTTTCCTCCTAAGTTTCCTATCCGTCCTAGGTTTCCTATCCGAGCTAGGTTTCCTATCCGAGTCACGGCACCATTATGTCGCTCCCCCTCTTCATGGAGGAACGACACAGGACCCTGCGCTGTTCTTTCGTCTGCTCGGCCCTCCCCGGGTTTGCTGCTGGTTCTTCCCGGGTTGGCTACTGTCCCTTCCACCTCCGTGGAAGGGCAGTTCCCCCTGGCCACATTCCCCACTTCTGCAGGGGAGCGGCACACCGCCGGCCGGCTCTTCTCGGGGGCTGCACAGGTGTTCCCTCAGATGTTCCCCTTAGATGTTCCTCTTAGATGTTCCCGGTGCATGCCGTCTCTCTCCTCCTTTATAGTCCTCCTCCGCCAATCCCAACTCGGCTGCCCACACGCCGAGTACGCTGCTCTCCTCCAATCAGGAGCAAGTCCTACAGTTTATTAGTTGAACTGGAGGCAGCTGTGCAGAAGCTGTTTACTTCTCTCCCAGCGCCATATTGTGGGAGAGCAGATGCATAGAATAAGTCTTAATTCCAGTAACTTAGTCCAGTCCGGGCTGCTCCCCACACAAGGCCATTCACAGGGAGCTGGACTGGAAGAAGATCAGCCAGGACTGGAACCAGAATCCATCTGGGATAGAAGCATTGCAGGCTGTGGCTTTACCCGCTATGCCACAATGCCAGTCCCAACTTCACAGTTGGAACAAGTGCCAGCTCCCACCACTGGCCTCGTTATTGTTGGGGCATTGGGTGGAGCACCAGTCTTGTGTCAGTGGACGGGGAATACCAGTCACACTCTAAATATTGCTCTGTTGCCACCTAAACAGGACCTTGAATCCTGAAAGGATCAAACTTGTCAAATAACCCCCCAAAGAGACCATGATTAATATAAGGATGTTTAAAATTCATCACTCGGCCTGTGCCGCAGCTCACTTGGCTAATCCTCCGCCTGCATCAGCACCCCAGGTTCTAGTCCCTGTTGGGGCACTGGTTATGTCCCGGTTGCTCCTCTTCCAGTCCAGCTCTCTGCTGTGGCCTGGGAAGGCAGTGGAGTATGGCTCAGGTGCTTGGGCCCTACACCCACGTGGGAGACCAGGAGGAGGCACCTGGCTCCTGGCTTCGGATTGGCGCAGTGCACTGGCCGCAGCACCGCCGGCCGTGGCAGCCATTTGGGGGATGAACCAACGAAAAGGAGGACCTTTCTCTCTGTCTCTTTCTCACTGTCTAACTCTGCCTGTCAAAAAAAATTCATCACTCAACAAGGCAAAATTTATTGTCTAGGTTCCAATAAAAATTTACCAGCTATGGGGTAGACATTTAGTTTAGTGGTTTAGATGCTGGCTAGGATATCCCCATCCCATACTGGAGTATATGGGCTTGATTCCTGCCAATGCAAACCCTGGGAGGCAGTGGTGATGGTTCAAGTACTTGTGTCCCAGCCACACACCTGAGAAACCTGGACTGAGTCCCTAGCTCCTGGACCCAGTTTGGTCTAGTCCTAGCTGTGGTGAGCATTTGGGGAGAGAACCAGTCAATGGGAACTCTATTTGTCTCTATCTGACTCTCTCTCTTTCACTCTGCCTTTCAAATAAAAATAAAATCCTTATGAGGTATGCATAGAAGCCTACACACAGCACTTAAAACAAGGAGAAAATGTGAACAGTAGAAAC